CTGCCTCTAATATGTCTCTGACTAGACCTTCATGCCTGAGAAGGTGTCCTACCAACCTATCTCGCCTATTTTTTATTGACTTCCATAGAGTCCTCTGTTCTCCTATTCTTTCTAATACCTCTTCATTTCCAACTTTCTCTATCCACGGTATCCTCATCATTCACCTGTAACACCACATTTCGGACGCTTCTAACCTTTTCTTTTCCGCCGCGCCCCTGTCTATGTTTCGCACCCGTACAGCGCCGTGCTCCAAACACACTTTTAACAACCTTTTCCGAATTTCTAAATTAACCGTTCTGGAGCATGGAAGTGACTTCTTTTTATTGAAGGCGACTCGACCCTGCGCTATCCTCTGCTTTATATCCCTACTACTTCTTCCGTCCTGACTTATTTGACTTCCTACATATCTAAAATCAGCCACTTCTTCTAGTTTTTGGTCTCCTATCTTTATATTCGCTCTTTCCCTACTTTTTTTCTTTTGTATAACAGTATTTTTGTTTTATTTTTATTTATTTTCATAATACTGCTATATATTTACTGGATTGATTAATCCCATCCACGCAGTTACTTTTGAACTTCATTATATTCATCGTTTTCATGACTAGCGTCATAACTGAAAATGAACAAATTGCCATTATAGAAGACTCTTTATTGTCAGATATGTAACTATGCATATTTATATAATCATAACCCGTACAAGAAACAGTATATGTATTTATAGGATAAACAAATATATAAGATTATTTTAAGCTACAATGGGTATCTCCACGGTTTCTGAATGGAATGTACCCGGCAGCCCCGAGGACGAAGAAGCCGTTGAAAGAGCCAGGCAGTTCAAAGTATGTAAAATCGTGTATGTTTGGTAGTTCAAAATTACTCTACAGCTTTATCTAGTTAATGCCGACTTTATCTGATTGCGCTTCATTAGAATCGAAAATAATATAGAGACTAATTAGGTTCCCATGGACTATAAACAGCGTAAATAGTAAACAATAGGACTCTCTAATATTGTGCCTTCACTTAAGAAGATAGTTACAATGATTTTGAAAGTTTATTGCTTTTTTATTATTGCAAATTCATTTTGAGTGGCGTTTTTATGTGCTTCTTCCAAAATCACTTATTAACCTTCCTTGAGTGGAAACTTTTGCCCCACTTCGGCATTACCTACCTTAAACTGAAAAACTCGCTCTAACTGGCAGATTTGGAAAATGTCGACTCCAACCAGCGAGAGTATAGATATCGATATCTTTCTGTATTTCTCTGTAAATATACTTTTCCTTTGTCTTATTAGGTAGGTATGTACACGAATCCGATTTTCTCTACAAACGGGGATTATCCACAATTAGTAAAAGACCTGGTTGCTAAGAAAAGTGCTCTTGAAGGCTTCTCTAAATCTAGACTTCCCGAATTCACTTCGGGTGAAATTGAATATATTAAGGGAACATCCGATTTTTTCGGATTGAATCATTACACTACCAGGCTGACGAAAAATTCTCCAGCAACTGACGGTGAAATTTCATTTCATAACGATATGGAAGCGGACGTATCCTATGATCCTAGTTGGCCAATGGATCCAGCTAATAGATTTGCTGTAAGTTCACATTTTTATATTAATGAAATTGTTATTCGCTTAAAAATCGTATCTTTTAGATTATTCCATGGGGCTTCAGAAGGCTTTTGGCGTGGATTAAAAGCACATATAACAATCCTGTTATTCATGTTACAGAAAGTGGTTCTCCAGATTATGGAGGATTAGAAGATAAAGTTAGAATATCGTATATAGGGGTAAATTAGGTTAAAATGATGCTAATTGCGTATAACAAATAATTTTATTTCGTAGCAATATCTTGAAGCACTTCTGGAAGCTATTAATCAAGACAATGTGCATGTACAAAGTTATTCCGTTTGGTCTTTAATGGATAATTTTGCATGGAATGGTGGATACTTGTAAGTACCAATCTGCCATTTCCCCAAACAACGAAGATAAGATTCACTTTTTTTTAAATTTTAGAACCAAAATTGGACTTCATTACGTCAATTTTACGGACCCAGATCGTCCAAGAATACCTAAATTATCAGCCACTTATTACAAAAACATCATCGCCAGCAGGGTAGTTGGGGACTACCCTCCACTCTCGTAAAGTTATTTACTATTTCGAAATATGTGTTTGTATCTTTTGAAATAAAACATATACTACAGTTTTTCGTTAATTATTGTCACCAGTAGTTCATGTGAATCGGATAAAATAACAAAAAAATTGATGGAATTTACAAATTGAAAATCATTTTTTAATGTGACCTCCGGCGAAACCCTTTCTTATTCCTTCAAAAACATTCCTTTTTAAATTGTAGCTCTTATGAAAGACGTAGTTAATATCGGCACAAGCTTTTCATTAAGTCAGAGGAGCAAATATGAATGTTGTAAGATTTTTTAATGAAACCAAACAGTCCATAAAAACCTCAAAAATATAGCACACTTATCTTTAATATCATATAAATGCATCCTATAATTATACATGCGATTAGAAATAAATTGATTGATTTTTCTCGTAATACTTCTTATATCTAATAAAAAAATATAAAAACAAATTTCATTTTATAAATAAGCGCATGTATTGTAAGTATACTGTTTTCGTCACTTAATAAATGAGTATTTGTAATAAAAGTAGAGATTGTGTTTTTAGGTCTATCTCAATTCACTGAAGTCGATCATTGGGTCAGGTCAGTATATCCCATAGAACAGTTGCTAGTATTACTATTCATCTGTTCTTTCAAGGCCAGTGGCTGGTTTGCTATTACTGGGATAAGAAGCCATGAAGAAGGGAAGAAAGTAGGTTGGAACTCGGGAAACACTTATTCAAGCTACTAAACTGCATAGGCATTTTATATATTGATTTTATAGATGGTAACCCCCAAAGTAGTACACGCGAAATAGCACAAAACGTTGGCTTCTCTCACGTAATGTTGTGGCGAACTAGGCCATGCCGCTCGGTTCTATTAGGGTGCGCTGGTTTGTAACAGTAAACCGAGCGGCATGGCCTAGAGGTCTAGACCATTGCTTAGTATTCGGGAGGACGCCGGTTCGATTCCGGGTCTGTCTGCCTTGATCCAAGTTTTTCTGTGGTTTCCTTGGATCACTTATGCAAATGCTGGGGCAGTAATATTCTACAGATAATCTTTCATTCTCTTCTGTCTTCATTTCGTCCGTCTCAACTTTCTCACACGAACCACCACCCACCCATTCCCACGATTACTGAAAGCAGGCTGAAGAGAGCCTTCCGCCCTACCTTCCGGCATAGTCCGGAGGGACTGCCCACCCACCAGCATTACTGGCTAGTTTTGTAACAGTAACCTGGTTCAAATCAAACAGATTTATGGCATCAATGGTGCACTTTTCTTTGAAGTAACTAAAATATTTTCTGTTTCTACTTTTTAGTTAAAGTTTGTACATATAGGTACAGTCTTGAAATCGGTTTTTGTTTTCTAAAAATTAACTTTGTTTATCCTAATGTTTTTAATTAGCTATTTTCACTGTAGGATAAATTTACATTAGAGCATACAACCTTTAATAAACATATTTTTACGCTAAAGTGTTCGGGTCTTTTTGGATGTTCTGCGATCGTTTTCGTAAGAGGCTAAGCTGTCTGATAAAGAGGTAAGCCATGTAAGAAGTCGACGAATCAATTCACTTACGAGCGTTTATGTATATAAGTTCAATATTACTATTAGATGTTAAAATAAAAAAAATAAAGACAGAGTTAACGATGTCAATCATCATTTGTGTGGATGTTAACTCATAATGAAGTCGAAGGTGAATCAAATTATATCGAATCATCGTATATATTTTTTATAAGGTATTTTCAAAAGTAATTTTAAGTACATAAATAATTACATGGTAAGTTAAGTGGCGCAAATTTATTGTTAACGTGTGAAAAGACATGGAAGCATGTGACTACGACTATAATTCAAGATAATTACATACCAGGCAGCGGTTTATGTTAATACTAAAATTGCGTTCCTGTGTCCACGTTAAAGTCGTGATTTAGAATTAATTATAAAGCAGAGGAATACACAGCGTTCGTATTATATTTGTCTTATTTCATATTTTATCGATCTATTTCTTCTCGGTTCGCTCGTAATGACTGTCGTCTCATATATTTATAGTGAAAATTTGCGTTCGAAGCTGCCAACCGTAGTAACTGGAAAAACAATATTTTATGAGAAGATGTTCGAATCAGGTTGAATAAAGTTGCAAGCGTTTTAGTTAAAAAGTTTCTAAAGGGATTATTTCAAATTTAACGCGAATTTTCATTAGGTAGGTTTTTGGTTATACATATTGGATTATTATCGCTGATGTTTGCTTTTTCTTTTTCTCTGGTAGAGTTATCTGACACTGCTGGGTACGCGGCATCATTATCCGGTATCCTAAAAAAAGTACCGGATCCAGATCGATACTCTAATAGAGCTATTCTTAGGGACACTTTACAATCTTAAATTAACAAAAAACTTATTCAAGAAGCTTATTTACTTCTTAAGAGTTAGAGAAATCTTTAAATAAAATGAAAGCAATATTGACAAAAGTGCTTTTCGTCTATGTTGACTTTAAAACAGATAAATAGAAATCGTGTATTAAATTTTGGAAAACAGTTTGTGTATGTATGTTTGCAATTCAAGTGTTATTACTGCTAATATAGATTAAATATTCTAAATACATGCCAACACAATGATAGTCAAGATTGTATCAGATTGCTCCTCTTGTTTTACGAAAGTAAATATGCAAGTAGACACTACCCGAACCCTCTATGGCTTTAATATACAATATGGAGTCCCGAGATAAAAATGTTCAGTCTCTCAGAGTCTTTGAAAGCGGGACTCGAGTCTCCGTCTCTCATCCAGTCTCTCTTGTGTCGCTGAGAGAGACTGTCGAGAGATTGTCAAAAAAACTGTTTAGCGTCTCTGAACGAGAGACTCGAGTCGCTTATAGAGAGATCCTCATTTCGTATCCAGTCTCAGAACGAGAGACTCGCATCTCTGAACGAGAGGCCCGAATCTCAGAATGAGAGACTCAAATCTCTCAATAAGTGGTGTCTCGATAGACATGGTTAAAATTTTCTAAGTTCAACATATTTCAGAGATCCCAGTCTTTCTACGAGAGACTCGAGTCTCTCAATTTTTGAGTTTTATTCATTCAGTCTGTCTGTGAGAGACTCGAATCTCTGAATTAACAATTTTATCGTTCTAGTTTCTCATACAGAGACTGTGAGAGATCCATAAAAACACCTAGATAATAACTGAGAGACTGTGACAGACGCTCTCAGAGACTCTGAAAGATTCTGAGAGACTGAAAATTTTTGTCTAGGGAAAGAGTGGAGGTGCGTGTCTAACCAGTTTTAGTACTGACGACCTTATATGAAAATGGATAAAGGTATTTGTACGATTTTACGTGTATCACGTCGAATTTTTGAGTTGTATTTTTGAAAAGATTATGCCACCTTTTGATGTTGAGTGCGTGAGTTCGACTCTCAAGTCGCCACTATAGTGTAGGTGTGCGGGAAAAACGTTTGTTATGGGTATTGAGCCGCTTTCAGACTGAAAGACCAACAAATTATCTATTATATACCATGATAAGTTATAAAAATGCACCTATGTTCCCAATAGGTTTCTTGTTTTTCCCAGAAAATGAAAAAGACCTGTTTTGTTTAAAAAATATTTGCAGCTAAGCATCAAAATGTTGCTATCTCATTTTGACCATGGATATAAGTTTTATTAAAATAATTGTCATAATAAGAGGTTTATACTACGCTTAATTTAACTAATAAATACGTGTACATATGCATGTATAAACCGACAAAAACCCACATTTTCAACGATTATTGAAAACCATCCAATTAACACATTAAAAATTATTTTTTAAGTAACTCCTGACTCTCGTTATTACTATATCTAAGTAAGTGAATTAACAAAACACGCCTTCGCCATCCGTTTTAATTAACAGGTCCTAGAACGTCATTCATTTATTTAACAGTTCTAATTGAATTTGTCGTCCTTATTTCTAAATGTTTCGGTAACATGCGAAATTGGAATTAAGTCATAACCAGCTATTATCACAAATATTTCCTGTGATTAAAGCACATACGTATGTGACGAAAAACATTTCACAAAACACCTTCAAACAGTGTTACACACATATAATTAAAACTAAACCAACTATAATCACACCTATAGCAAAACATACGAAACAACAACAAAATAGTGAACAGACGTTTGATACCGCGCATATTCTCCATTTTCTTCATCATCATGGTAAAGTCGTCAGTTCTAAGACTGGTTGGACACGCACCTCCACTTTTTATTATCTTAAGCTAATCTTCGCATTTCCCTAAAATTAGAACATCCATATCCGTATCTGTTTGTGAACAGCAATCTAATTTAGGTCTACTTCTACTCCTCCTCTTAACGCCTGTTTGTGCTTCTAATATAAGATCCTGCCAACATACCTATGTCACATATATCTTATTGACATCCATAGTCCCCTCTGTCCTCCCGTTTATTCAAATACCTCCTCATTTCTAACCTTTCCTATCCACGGTGTCCTCAGCATTCTCCTGTAACACCACATTTTAAACGCTTCTAACAACAGGCATACATCTCTTTCAAATTTCTAAATTAATCGTTCACTAGACTTCTTTTTCTTTTCGTCGCTACTATTCCCTACGTCCTGAGTTAACTAGTCTCTTAGATACCGAAAATCAGCCGCTTCTTCTGATTTTTCATCTCATATTTTTATATTCGCTCTTTCACTACTTTCTTTTTCTACTCTTGCATACCAGGCTTTTTGTTTTACTATTATTTATTTTTATACAATACTGTTTTGTCAATACCGCCTCCATTTTATTTAAGGCTGTCTCTAACTCCTCGTTGCTAGATGCTAATACTGCTGTATCATCTACAAATCAAAGCATACTAACNTTCGCAAATAGTTAAGGATATGGGTTGTTCTAGTTTTAGGGAAATGCGAAGTTTAGCTCAGGATAGGAAAGAGTGGAGGTGCGTGTCCAACCAGTCTTAGAACTTAGGACGACGAAACGTACGAAACGTAGACGGTGGACGCGACGGAAAACAAATGGTTAGAAGCTTTCGAAATGTAGTGTTTCATAGGAATTATGAAGATACGCAGATAGAAAAGGTTAGAAATGAGGGAAGAAAAAGAGTAGGAGAACAGTCGACAATTTGGAAGTTGACAGATAGATTGGTGGATTACCTTTTCAGGCTTGAAGGGCTAATTAGAGATATATTAAAAGCAGAAACAGGAGTTATGAGGAGTAGATGCCGGCCCAGATTGGATTTCTGCTTACAACTAGTAATTAAGGATGTGAGATAATCTAGGTTCGCTCAGGATAAGAAAGAAAGTGAAGGTACATTTATAACCAGTGTGAGGGCTGTTAGAAACACATTAGATGCAAAAACAGGAGTTAAGAGGAGTAGATGTAAACCTACACCAGCTTGGTAATTACAAATAATAATAGTTAAGGATGTGGGATGATCTAGATTAAGTCAGGATAGGAATCAGTGGAGGTGCGTATCCAATCAGTTTCAGTTTCAAGCAGATACAGGAGTTGCCAGGAGAAGAGGTAGACCTAGATTAGATTACTTTTCACAAATATTTAAAGATGCGGAATGTTCTGGTTTTAGTTAAGTATGAAGATTAGCTCATGATATAAATGAGTGGAAGTGCGTGTCCAAGCAGTCTCAGGCCTGTTAGAGTCATATTAGAAGCAGATGTGGAATGTTCAGGTTTTAGAGAAATACGAAGATTAGCTCATGATAGGAATGAGTGGAGGTGCGTGTACCAGTTTCAGGATTGACATCATCATAAGTTTGTCAATCCTAAGACTGGTTGGACGCCCATCTCCACTCTTTCCTATCCTAAGCTAATCTTCGCATTTCCTTAAAACCAGAGTAACCCACATCCTTAACTCTTGTTTCTACCTTTAATGTCTCTGACTAGACCTTCATGCCTGAGAAGGTGTCCTACCAACCTATCTCGCCTATTTTTTATTGACTTCCTTAAAGTCCTCTGTTCTCCTATTCTTTCTAATACCTCTTCATTTTTATACCATATTTGAACGCTTTTAATCTTTTCTTTTCCGCCGCGCACACCATCCATGTTTCGCACCAGTACAGCGCCGTGCTTCAAACATACACCTTTAACAATCTTTTTCGAAATTTTAAATTAATCCTTCGCTAGCATAGAAGTGACTTCTTTTTATTGAAGGCGACTCAACCCTGAGCTATCCTCTGCTTTATATCCCTACTACTCCTTCCATCTTGATTTATCTAACTTCTTAGGTACTTAAAATCAAACACTTCTTCTAATTTTTTGTCTCCTATCTTTATATTCGCTCTTTCCCTACTTTTTCTTCCCTTGCATACCAATATTTTTGTTTTACTTTTATTTATTTTCATACAATACAATACAGTAATGATAAAACAATTAATCGGAGGAAGTTGTGCGATATTTTTTGCATTGAGCATCCCTAAAAGTTTTTTGTTCATATGTGCTTATCAAGCTCATTCAAGTCTGTTGCACTTTAACTGCATTCCAACATTGCAGCACGCACCTTCGGTCCTGGGTTCTGCGCTTCGCAATGCGACTGGCGAAGGGCGTCGCGGTGGCCGTCACCAGCGTCGTATCCTTTTCGTCCACTCGCTGTCTGCGTTGACGGACAACGACGGCGTGCCATCGCATGCGCAACACCAATCTCTCCACGTGGTTTAACAGCATTCTCTTCTCTGTCCGCTCTTTGCCGGCAGTTGAACGCGATGCGTTCGTGTAGTCGGTCGGTGAACTTTACGTTTACTCTTTTCATACGCGAACTTCGCGCGGACAACAGTCCTCGCGAAACCGCCGTTTGTCTCTTTTCTTATTATTCTTCTTCTTCGATAACTCGTTTGCTGTGAATTCCTCGCGGTCGACTTCCGAATGACGGACGATAACAACTTTATAGGGTTGATCGACCTGAAACCCAAATCAACTTTCCTGCTACGGCTCATCGTTGTTTAAGTTTGAAACGTATCGGAACTCATATGACTGCGTGTTTTGAAGATGAACTATTTTTGACGCACGATATAATAAGTGACCGATAATCAACATTTTTGGCCAGTATTGACGCGAAGAAGTGTTCGGACGAGGGCAAGTTTTCCCTCTACAAAGACACTTAGTGTTGATGCGTATAGTTTGATGCCCGATTGAACCGTCAGGTGCAAAAGCATCAAGTGTCCCAATACGTGTTTGCAAGTGCAGTTGGTCCTTTTTGTGACGTGCGCCGTATTGTAGTGCTATTATTTGGTGCTTTATGTAAGTGTATGTGGTATAAGGATAAGAAAGGATAGATTGGTGATGACGCAGAAGGAAACTTGAGCTGCTTAAAGAAGCTGATGCTACACGGACGGACGGTGGTCGACGAAGGCAGAAGAGGTTCATAAATCAAAGGTGTGTAATGTAACTTGATTTGTCGTTTTTTTGAGACGGTACGCGGCGGATCCATAAAATGGACGTTCCGCTGACGTGCAGTAAATGATTTTTTACAATGGCCTGCTTGTTTTGGACAGGAACATTAAATCATTTTCACAGTGGTTGAAAGATTATCATGTCGCCGCTTTGTGTCTTTATGGGACATAAATAAATGCTACATCTTACGGTATATACGGATAAGTAGGGTATTCCCAACGATTTTATTCTGATACTAATATAATTTGTTTATTGAGAATTTTTTCTTTTAAGGATTCAAAATTATTTATTATCAATTGCTAGGTTTATCTCTTTATAACGTTTTGCCATTGAGAACTCAGGTCGTGCTCGGACCTGTTCTAATACTTCGTCAAAAAAATCTCTGCAGATATCTGTTGATCTGCATTTAAGGATGAGTTTCTGATTTAGGTCTTTAGAGACCTAACAAATATTTGTAGGTATCTTCGTAGATCAGAAATTTAGAAATGTTAGATCTTCAAAAATTATTATTTTGTCAATGGCCTAAAATATACATCTCGGTAGATCTTTTTACAATTCCTGGTCCACAGAATCCACTCCATACGGGAATCTGAAGCTCCATGGCTTTCAACAGATTTTAGATTAAAGTATTTGTTGCAGTTTGATGCCTATTATAGGTTACTATTTTATCTTTATCTATCTGTCCAAATGCGGTTTAATATTGTATTTGTAGTTGAAATTGAAATGCTACTTTGTCGTTACCTAAAAATTGATTTTCGTCAACAAGATTATAAATCTATGTCTAAGTAGTTTATTAACCATTTAGAATGGGCAATTTGTAACGTGTTCGAAAGCGTTCGTTATTTCGTTGCACATCTACAGTACATGCCTACTTATATTATGAATAATTACTTAATAGTCTTTTTATGAGCGTCATATGTTCATTGGGGCCTAGGCATCAACCGATGCACGAGATAAGAAATAAGATGTGTAGCTATCCGATTTTCCATTACCTGATCGAGATAAATTATCTTGAAGGCTTGTCTTGTCGCATTCTGTCTTTTCGGTCGGTGCAACAGCGAAAGTAACAAAAAATTACATCATTATATTTGGTGTATAATTGCCTATTAAAACTACAGAAATTGAATATGATTCCATTTTACTTTCAAACTTACCTAAATATTATTAAGTGAACAACTTTTCTATATAGTGAGGCATTTCCTGTATCCTATTTTTCAAACATACATATTTTGAAGTGAAAACAATTTGGTATTTGGATTTTAGTACAGTTGTTTTGGACGAAAGTGACAACATCTTCATTGATAAAAAGGGATTAAATAAGAATTATGTTCTGTTGCTGCATTTCTTCCTGGGAGGGAGAACGCGTATTTTACATTTTTGGAAATACTTCGATGAGGAATATTATTCTGTTTAAAATGAAGGAATAACTTCTTCCATTTTTTTGACTATTTCAAAATTTTTATTTCTTTAAATTTTATATATATTTTTACACTACAATAAAATAAGAAAATATTTAAAAATCGGCGGGAAGCGGGACAGTTCTCTAAAAAGCGGGACTATCCGGCCACCTTAGTTTTGAATAAACATTGGTCGAATAGAAAGTTGGGTCAAGACTATCAAATGAGCGAGCAAGCACGAACGGGAATACGATCATGTTGTACGGGAATGCACACAAGCCAATGCTTGCTTGCTCGAGCTTGGTGATCCACTACGTGTCGTTTCTTCAAAGAAAAAAAAATCGTTCTTGGGTGTTGAATCCGGACCAGAAATTTTGTCTAAATTAAATTCGCCCATGAGATTTTGTGCATGATGTATTGATTTAATAGGGCATTAAAATCTGTTTGTGATATTAGGTAAAAATTTCAATTTTCTCGAATCTTCTGCTTTTACATAATTGTCACCATGAATATGCTTATTTTTAAGTAGTGTTATCTTATACCATATTTGCTGTCGATTTTGCTGATTTCATTTTAACATTTTGTAAGGTAATAAAATAAGTAAATAATCGGTTAGTGTAGACTAATTTGAGGGAATATTCGCTCTCGCTCGTTCTTACTCGCTCATTTGGTGTGGACCCGACACCAAGGTTGATAAAAATCGATTTTTTTTAATAAATCTAATTTTGGCTAGTTTTTACGTTTTTATTAATATAAATACGTGTCAAAAATCATCGACGACCATATAAAAGTAATTTTTTCTATCCCTCGGGAACAGTGTGCCTTAAATAATTAAGACGTGAAATTGTAAACAAGCAAACTCATTCGCATTTATATCTAATATTAGTTAGGATTTTCTATTTTCTAACAATTCTGACTCGAGAATTCAGATACAAGAAACAAACTTGGGTATTATAAAAGTTCAACAATATTTAGTTTTTCTGTAACCTACAGTTCTGTTTTTTGTATTAATTTTTTTAAAGTGTTTTTGTAAAAAACAGTTAAATCCTTTAATTATTACAATAAACAATAAATATTGACATAAAAATGTCTAGGTTTTACTTCTTTAATGAACAAAACAAATACATTTTTAAGTGCCCAAATAACTTCATTTTCTTAAATGAATCATAATTTTATTTCAAAAAAATCAAATTGATTGACGATTAAAATCATGATTTTAATCAACTGATTTAATACATTTCAATCCTGGACCCGGCTGAAGAGGTCATTCGTTCGCTTAGTACGCTAGCAACCTTAACGCGTAACAAGTTGAGGATTTATTTTATTAAGGAACATCAGGCAGATGGATAAGTTATAAGTAATAATAAGACTCGAGGTGCACATCGGAGGTGATCAACCTTTATATAGTGTGTGCATTTCAGAAAATAAATGCGTGGACATTTTACAGTCGTAACGGTATTCGAAATCGTTAAGGTTTTTAGAGAGTACGTAATAAATTTGAACGATGCCATTGCGATAATGAGAGCAATAACAGCTCAACACGAGCAAAAGGTGTTGATCACGTTGACGAAATTTCATCGACAATTGTTTTTTTTTTGTATTTTTACACTGGCTTTCAAAACAATTTGATTTGTACCTACCTGTACAGACCTACATGTTGAATGTTGAGAGTAGTGTCGTACCTACTTTATATTTGGTCCCTACATGATTGACATCAAGTTTTTATTATTGTTTCATTGAAATCGAATTTAAATTTAATCGATAAATGAGTGACATACCAGAGATAGTCCTAACTCCCCTTTATTTTGTTTTGATTGACGTCAAGTGTTTGACAGCTGGGAACAGACGTTTTGTATGGTTTGTTTTGGAAAAGAAAAGTGAGGTTTTTACGTTTTTCTGGGCAATTTTTCTCTATATAAGAACCTTCCTATGATTCAAGGAATATTTAAAAAAAAAACAATTATCCAAATTGGTGCAGCCGTTGTCGAGTTTTACACTTAGTAAAACATTTAGCGATTCATTTTTATTTATATATAGATTGCTATTATTTCCGTATGTTTTATGGCCAGATAACATCTTTATGCTTTGCTCTTCATTCCATCCCCTTTAGTGTATAATAAAATAATCAGAGCCAATCAGGGCCAAAAAGATTTATACTAAAACCAGCACCAACGTTTTGCCTCTAATTTGACGCTTTTTTAAGGTAGGTTTTTTATGTAGCGATGTATTGCTTGCAAACCGTCAAGATGAGTGGTACATGAGTCCTCAAAACGTAATATCACAAAACATATTCATTCACAGAAAAAAACTAAATTTTTATGACAACGCGAAAATTACAATTTTCGATTGTAAATGACTGAATTAGGTACCTTGTAATTATCTCAATTTTGGCATATTTTTTAAAAATTATTTCGAGTTTCTTAATTATTACAATTTAATTTGTAATATCGACTAACATACCTAGTAAATTTATTTCCGCTGGAATTTCGTTTTTACAAATTCGGGTCCAAATTGTAACTTTTACAACGTATATATATATATTATAAATACCTAAATGCGTGTAAAGATAAGTGGTACACTGAGGCAGAACAGGACGTATACCACATTGCGACATAAAAAGACCTACCTTGAAAAAGATTCAATTTAGAGGGGAAACGTCGGTGCTGGTTTTGTTACAATAAATCTTTTTTTGCCCCTGATGAGATAGGAATATTTACATCCCGCAACGAGCAGTGAAAATAATGGAAAACGTAAATGCTACATGCTGTTAAAAGCTTTTAATATTTTGTTGACTACATCGTTTAATTTCTGTAGTTATTGTATAATGTTGAAATGTTTCTTTTCGGTTCAATATATAAAATGTAAATTAATGCAATAATTATAAATATGTTGTATAGGTGCAACGTATGATTATGTCAGTGAAGTTTTAGTGCGGATTTTTTTTATGTTCATCGAGTCTCTTCTTTGTATGCCTACCTGTTTCGTATGGTGTACCGTCTACATCACCAAATGTGATTTATTATTTAAAATATATTAGAAATATTTAGTAAAGCTTTTTCGATTACATGCAAAATTATTATGTCCTCGTTGTCCTTGTTATTCTTGTACCGA